TATATATATATATATATATATATATATATATATATATATATATGGTCTAGCCTCGTCACTACTTCGCCGGGGTTAGGCTAGACACTTACCAGCACATGGGGTCGGTTGTGCTGATGTTACACTCTGTGCATTTTTGCACAGGTCCAGGTTTCGAGCAGCAGCAGCAGCAGCCTTAGTTCGTGAGCATATCATCAGTCCGGAGAGACCCGAGGTAGCCTTGCAGGCGTCCGCAGTCCCGGCGTCTCCCTTCTATCCTTATATTAGACTGTCATCTCTTTGTATTCGGGATAAACAGATTTATGTTTCTTTCAGACCTTGTATTTAGTAAACTCTTAGCAGTTNTATTTAGTAAACTCTTAGCGGTTCGTGACTAATGTGACACCAGTCTTGGGTAGAGGCTATTGTTGATTGTTCCGCGTTTTGATTCAGATTATAAATCAGACTTCCGCTATTATTAAACTTCATGTTCTATATTGATGCTATGAATTGTTAAGAGATTTGTTTATTAATGGAAATGTAATTAAGTTGGCTTGCCTAGCTACCACGAGTAGGTGCCATCACGACCCCGAGGGTGGGAAATCCGGATCGTGACAAGTGGTTTTCGAGGCCTCGAAAGCACGTAATGAGTGAGAAAACAGGTGATGACCCTTTGGGTCGTCACACAGCTGCAACATCGAATTATTTACTGCCTCTTCACACATAAAGATTGTTTCACTGGTTGGTCTATGTATATTGGGAGATTCATTTTTCCCAGTCTGCAAAGGTGTAGAAAATATCTTAGTGACAACAAGATTAGTGCATGTAGTATTGCCTTAGTAAACTTCCCTAGGATCTTTTGACTGTTGGGACATACATGTTTCTTGGTTAGCTCAATCTGTGGCACATTTTCTATTATGATATCTATTAGCACAAATGAAGAATAAAGGGAGAATAAGAATCTCTTGGGAAATGTTAAAATGAGTTGAACGTTATATGTGAAGCATTTTTTTTTAGATTATGGCTTAAAAAAGCATGAAAGAACTTCTTAAAATTAATGGTTACACACTTCTTTTATGTTTTTCTCTTAATATTCTGGTTTAAATAAGCATGAACAACTTCTTCCCCTATTATTTCCTTTACTTGCTAAGAGTTTATAAGCTCAAAGTGAGTATACTGATAGCATATGTTATTTTCATATGTGGGCTAATGCCTCTTACTCTATAAAAGAGAATGTTTTTTGCTCAGGGTATTAACAAATACTACTTGCTCATAATTTTTGACTGTCCTATGCACTATTAAGCATTAAAACCATCTGAGAAGAGGGTCATCAATTAAATAAGTTATGATATTCAACATATCTTAAGGAGCTGAAAGTTGCTGGTAACTATTAGGAGTCTTACCATAATAACTTGAGAACCAGAAGCATGAATTTTGATCTTTCACTTTATTAACTCGAGTACGATACTTCGTTCCTGCCAGAATATTGATTTCAATTTACCCCTATTAAAATCTCTTAACCCATTTGATCAAAGGGGATTTATAGATGAGGGATTGTAAGTTGTGATGGGAATCTTTATGGTGATTAATTACAACAGAGTACGACTAAACTTGAAGAAATTGTTTGATACTGCTCATGCACATTCTCTTTTGAATCCTTGGTTCAACATTCATAAGATCCGGCATTATGGTCACTTTCAGTGTGGTTATAGAGTAGCTAACAACCATGAGATTTTACTTTTTGGTGCATCTTCTACTGTTAATTTCTTTTGTACATGCATGTGAGCATTTGTGACATTATGGTATTAATTTTGTCGTAGAGACAAATCTATTAGTTAGTTTCTGTATATTTTGGATGTTCGCGGATATACATCTTCTCTCTCTTTTCCAGTTTTTTATAGACTAATTATTATGCAGATAATGAACAGCCTTGCAATGACAAGAAGCAAGCTGAAAGGATACATTGGCCCTTGCCTTGATTTTCTTATAGAGCATTGTTCTTGTGATATTTTTCGCACATTTTGTATAGAAAAGAACTACATAGGTTTGTACAGTAACTCTTTTTACTATGGTTACCTATTTTCATATCGGGATGGACAACTATGTCTGCACCTAAAATTTGCTAGAAATTTTGCCAGACAGCTCAAAGCAGCTGAATTTATTCTGTGAGTGGTGGAAGTTGTGTAATTGCTATTATACTTTCCCAAACGAGTTCTATGGATTTTGTACTTCCATTCAAATTTTGGTTCTTGCAAATAGTATAACATTAGTTTAAAATCGTGTAATCTTTTATATGTACCTATTTCTTTCCTTTATCTTCAATAAAAATAAGTGTTTTCTCTTCTATAATATTGGGCCCGTGCTGGCACGGGCCATGCGTACCTAGTACTATTATACATCATGAAAATAAATTATTATTATTTTCGTTGAAATGAAAGAAAATACTTTTTACTACATCATTCTGTTAAAGAGAATTCTCTTTATACGTCATGAAATGAAAGTACTTCTTTTTGTTGAAATGAAAGACAATACTTTTTATTGCATTATTTTGTTGAAATGAAAGAAAATACTTTATATACAGCATGAAAAGAAAGTACTATTTTTGTTGAAAAGAAAGAGAATACATTTTTTACATCATGAACAGAAAGTATATATTTTTTTGTTGAAATAAAAGAAAATACTTTTTACTACATCATTTTGTTGAAATGAAAGAAAATTTTCTTTATACATCATGAAAAGAAAGTATTTTTTTATTGAAATGAAACAGAATACTTTGATTGCATTATTTCATTGAAATTATAAAAAAAACTTTATATACATCATGAAAAAAAGTACCTTTTTGTTGAAAGAACGAAAATACTTTTCTACATCACTATTTTGTTGAGTTGAAAGAAAATACTTTTATACATCGAAAAAAGAACGAACTTTTTTTTGTTGAAATGAAAGAAAATATATTTTTTAATTATAAAAAAAAGATATTCATTTTGTAAGAAATTACTTGCATCATGAAAAAAGTACTTTTTTTGTTAAAATGAAAGAAAACACCGTTTTACATCACGAAAAGAAAATACCCATTTTGTTGAGAAAAAAAAAGGTACTCTGTCTACAACATTAAAGGAAAGTATTCTTAATAATATTTCTATTTAAGATGGGGTAATGTGATGACCCAAAAAGTCATCACTTGTTTTAGAAACAAATTCAGTGTTCCAAGGCCTAAAAACCTCCTTTTTACCTCACCTCGATTTGAGTGCGCAGTCCAGGCACGTAGCGGGAAAGCCATTATATGAAAATCTATGAAAAATAATAAATTTTGCTTTTAAAATGAATTTAAGTTGACTTTGATAAATATTTTGAGTAAACGGACCCGGATCCGTGTTGCGACGATCCCGGGAGGTCCGTAAGAAAAAATGGGACTTGGGCGTATGCCCGGAGTCGAATTCCGAGGTCCCTAACCCGAGTAATGAATTTTTGAAGAAGATTGTTTTCTGAAAAATACATGAGTTTTTGAAAATGAAATGTGTTTGAAAGTTGATGGTATCGGGCCCGTATCTTGGTTCCGGAGCCCGGTACAGGTCTAATATGTAATTTAAGTTGACTTGAAATGACGTGAAATGGACCTTATTTGGGAAAAATTAGAAAATTTGATGTTCTTCAGTGATTTCATGATTTTGGTGCTACATTCATAGTTGTTGATGTTATTTTGTTGATTTGAATGCACGAGCGAGTTCGTATGATGATTTTGGGTTAGTGTACATGTTTGGCTTGGAGACCCGAGGGCTCAGGTGAGTTTTGGATAGGCCACGGAGTAGAATCGGACTTGGAAAAATTGCAGGTTTCAGCTGTTCTATTGCAGGCCTGCAGGCTTCGCATGGCTCGCAAATGCGAGTTCGCAAATGCGAAAATAGCCCAGGCCAGCCTACCTCTGAGGAAAATACTGCAAATGTGATCCTCCACTTGTAGCCCAGTCGTCGCAAATGGGACAGTTTTATCGCAAATGCGACTTCGCATTTGCGAGAGGTCTATCGCAAATGCGAAAGAGACCTGAGAATTAGCTATGTCGCAAATGTGACAGTTTTCTTCGCAAATGCGATGATAGCAGAGTCTGGGTTCGCAATTGCGAACCCTGATCGCAATTGCGACACCAGAGACCTGTAAAATTCATACTTAGACGAATTTTTAACCATTTTTCACATCTTCTCAAAACATAAACACTCTAGGGCGATTTTTCAAAGGCAACTTCTTCTCCAAATCAATTGTAAGTCGTTTCTAACTAGTTTTCTTCAATCCTTAGCATCTTTTCACATGATTTCAACTCAAAATCAATGATTTTAATGGGGGTAAATTGGGTGTTTTGAGTAGAACCTAGGTTTTTCAAATTTTGGGGATTTGGACATCGATTTGAGGTCCGATTTCAAAACAAGTTATATATTTGAGTTCGTAGGTGAATGGGTAGTCGGGTTTTGGTCCGAACCTCGGGTTTCGACCATGTGGGCCCGGGTCGATTTTTGACTTTTTGGAAAAAACTTTACAAAACTTATTTTCATGCATTAGAATTGGTTCTTTCAACATTTATTGATGTAATTAAGTAACTTATGACTAGATACGAGCGAATTGGTGGTGGAATCAAGAGGTAAAGCTATAGTTGAGGCTTGAACTGTGTACGAGGCATCGAGGTAAGTGTTTGGTCTAACCTTAGCTTGAGGGAATAGGAGTTTGGTCTTATATGATATGTGTTATGTGTTGAGTACGACGTATAGGCATGGTGACGAGTATCTATACGTTGGTGTCGAGCATGCCCGTGAGTCTTATGTCGTGTTTTATGTGACAGCGTTTGTATTGTTCTTGTTCAATGTGGCAATTGCTATTGACGAGCAATGTTTGTGGGAAGAATATTGGTATTTGTATATTGAAGAGCATTGGCTTGAATTGTGAACTAAGTTGTGAGGTAAATGTGAAAATGAGAAGAGGTTTATAGCATTACTCCCTTGCCGGGACGTTGTGTCTTTAAATGTTATTCCCTTGCCGAGACGTTGTGGTTTTCATGTTGTTCCCTAGCCGATATTATATTATGATTCATTTATTCCATGCCCTTATTGTTTGTGTTTGTTGTTTGGGTGAGGAAGAGTGTAAAGCACGAAGGGTGATGACGTGCATTGTTTTGGTGAGAGAGTGTTAAAGCACGAAGGGTGATGCGGTGCATTATTATTATCATTAATTGTGAGGAGGAGTGTAAGGCACGAAGGGTGATGCCGTGCCGCACGATGTACCATTCCGTGCCGATTATATTGATATTATGGTGAGGATGAGAGTAAAAGCACGGAGGTGATGCCGTGCAGTTTATATTGATTTTATGGTGAGGACGAGAGTAAAAGCACGAAGGGTGATGTCGTGCACTTGTTTGATTTTTTATTGTTGTTGATAATTGAATTGTGGCGATCTATATATTTAACTGTTGTTCTCTTGTTGCTATTTGGTATTTTCCCGCAGCATGTTCCCCCTCTCCCATCATTATATATGTTTCTGCTTTTATTTTTCCGCTGTACATTATTTATCTGCACAGATTTATTGGCAGTCTGGTCCTAGCCTCGCCACTACTTCGCCGGAGTTAGGCTAGGCACTTACCAGCACAGGGGGTCGATTGTGCTGATACTACACTCTGCACTCTTTTGTGCAGATCCTAGTGCTGCAGATTTCGGACCGCGGTGAGGTTTCAGCTTCTTGCTTATCAGGCGACCCGAGGTAGTTCTGCAGGCGTCCGCAGGCCTTAGCGTCTCCCTCTATCTATTTTGCTGCTTCTCTTATGTAGTTCCAAAGATAGTATTTTATTATTTCTTTCAGACCTTTTATTTGTAGTACTCCTAGACAATTTGTGAAGTTGTGACACCAAATCTTGGGTGATTTTGTTATGGGTTGGTATTAGTAGTGCTATTTAAATTGATATTTATTCTTCCGTTTGTTAAATTAAGTTGTTAATTAATTGTTGGTTCTAAGTTGTTAACAAATTTAAAAATGGAAACAAGTCAACTAATTCAGTTGGTTGGCTTGCCTAGCTCTCACCAGTAGGCGCTATCACGACCCCCGAAGGTGAAAAATTCAGGTCGTGACAAGTAAGGGTGGGGAGAAATAGGGGTGTCAGTGTGGGGATGGGTTGGTGAGGATTGGTGGGGGTGGAGAAGGTAGAAAAAGAGTTTTGAAAAATATTTTTTATTCTCTTGGTAGGGAAAACATTTTCCTTCAATTGAGGGAAAATGAGTTCATAAGAAAAATATTTTTCAAAATATTTAAGCCAACCAAACATAAAAAAATTAAAAAAAAAATTAAGAAAAATGTTTTTCTTCCTACAAAACACACCAGTAGTTACAACTTGTTTGAATGACAGTTACATATCGTTTTCTAACCTATCGCACAGTTTTTTAATGAATAAAACATTTGAATAGATTGTATTATTTTTCATGGTTTCATAATGGGAATACACCAGCAATTGAAAAATAAGTGTATAATATGTATAAAAAAAAAAGTAGATTATGAAGTTGAGTAATTATTAAATAAGATAAAGCAAAAAGTACAATAGAATTATAGTAAGGCAAGATGAGGAAAAAAAAAACAATAACGACGCGAGCACAAAATTGATTGTTACATAAAAGGTTTTTATATCATTATATAACAACGGATTTAACGATACGATATATTCAACTTTTAAATAATAATCAAAACAAATATTGTATTTTAATGTAACAATATAATAGGTAACAACCATCAAAAAAAGAACCTAATTTTGATAGACTACAAAAATATATACCATAACTTAAATTGAAACAAGCCTGTCAAGTATTTAAGCTCCTCAAATCAAGCGGTTGGCTCCTCCTCAAGTTCCATTTTGTATATTGTATATTCCCTCTCAAATAACAAAAACTCTTGTATGAAAAGTAGCTTCAACTTTAGTAGCAAGATCTAATTATTGCCCAACAAATCAAATTAACCGACTAACAAGACCACAGATCTACTTTATCAAAAGACTAAGACAACAAATATATTAATGCTACAAATCCTACAACTATATTAATGCTACAAATGGTGTATGCATGAGAACTGATGAGACTTTGTCCAACCTAACAGTCATTCAGCTGTAGGAAAACTCTATTATCTCTTTTCCTGTGCATAAAGGGTACAAGCCAAACAGTAATACCTGCAATTGATGCTGACTGAAGAGACGAATGAACCCTGTTTCAGGATTTGTGACAAGGTTGATCAACTCATCATGGGTATTAGGTGGACTACCAGACCCGACAAGCGACACACAGACCTACAAATGAGTTCAACAGATCACAACTGAGAGTACAAACAGACACGTCCTTGAAGTTTTTGCTTCTATTCAAATTTTCAGAATTGTCAAATAAGATAAATGAAAATTTTTGGAATAGAAATTTTGCTCTAGGTGATAGCCTACACACAATACTGTAAATAATGAGAAATTATGAGTTTAGAATATCAAGCTCACCTGCATACACCGACTAGAACAACTTCAGGGTATGCAACACCTACAACAAAGACCATGCACTATGTAGGTTGCAGGGCCTTCAATAGAACCATCGCCGCCAGAATACCAAGCATCTAATCGAGAGATTTCCAATGTAACTCCAGCTTGAAAGCGAATAAGCTCCCCTGTGACAAGCAATGAGGTAATTGATGAAGATAAAGGTAATATATAAAAGAGAGAAAGAAATGAGGCAATGAGCTTCAACAACATTCTCATTTTACACATCATGCCAACTAGCACAACAAATAATACTTTAGCATATCAAAGTAACAACATATATAACCAACATACCTCCCGCAAAACTTATAACTTTTGACATAGCAAGCAACGGGAAAAACTTCTCTTCTAGGGCAATCTAATATTTCAGTGCTCATTCACATAAAGATGGCTAATATCTAATATTCCATTGCTCATCCATAAAATACCCTTTCAATTTTTATATTTTTAAGTTCAACATTTTTCCAATTTGGCCCACGGGCCGGCCCAGCCTAAGCTCAGTCAAGCCTCAAGGGTCGGCGGGCTTTACTTGAGCCAGTCTAAAAGGCCTCATTCTTAAATGAGGTCCAAAGATCTTAGCCAACTCTATCAAATAACGCTAGGCTGGGCTAAGATTTTTGGTGGACTTTGTTTTTTCCTTTACTTTTTGTTGACAACACTGGTGCCCGCTACCCAGGCCAATTTCCGTCCACCTCGAATATTCCACTAGGTATCTGCTACCTCTTACCTGCACAAGTACCCAGTAATTATGCCCACCAAAGCTTAGGCAGATGAGAAGAAATCACCTATTATTTCATGATCTCCAAGGTTTGCACTCAGTTCAACGTGGCGGACATTATTATTTAAGTAACTATGTCAGTTTTTAAAGAGATACTAAAATAATAAGTGGATCAATCAAAATGGGATAGAGGAAGGAGAAAGCATCACGTAAACTCACCAACTAGAGAATCTTATTACCTTTGAAGCCAGCAGCAAGCATTGCAGCAAGAATACCGCCATCAGGGAACTGATGTGACCCAAGACCATCCTTTTCTGTTGCCAAGCAGCGTAATACAACCTCGACACAATAGTTGTCTCTGGATGATATGGAGACGCTCACCTGCACGAACATCATAGAAATCGCCAACATTAATACGTTTATATAGAAGGTCGAAGTCCTCCTAAATCATAACCTTTTGCATTGAATCCTGTTTAATGTAGAGTTGATTTTAGTAATTTGTTTCAGACAGAAAAGCCTAATAAGGCTAGAGACCCATTACAGAGGTTACGAGCCCTATGGCTGGATGAGCATGTGTACTAACTAGTAACTAACAACTCTTATTTTAATTAACCTTCTGCTATCTAAATGTCAGTGCATGAACTTCCATGTTTTATATAACCCATTGTACCAATAGACCATTGCCGCAGACTAATGTACTTACTCATGTTTAGGTACATTTGCTAGCTAGAATGCTCATTCTGACTACACCTTTTTTTGGCACTAATATCTTGGCAGGGAGGCTACCATACCTTGTACACTTTTGATAGATATCTTGATCAATAGAGAAATAGACCGACGCAGTCCAAGTATAATAAAAAATTAGACACCACAAGAAAGAGAGGAGGCTCGTGTATTGAACATGTCCTCTGAGGACCAGTACAACATCAATTACAACTTCCGCATTTGACTTGACAAAAAATTAGCATACCATTATCTGGCGTTTTAATACTTCTTCCTCACTGACTGAAGAGTAAAGGGCACTCATTAACGTTGTGCACAAGGTGGCGTCGGGAGCCAAACAATCACCAGATGATGAACAAAGCATCGCAGTAGCATGCAACTCGAGGAACACAGGCTCATCACTTTCCAAGATGTGATCTTCAGTTGGAACTAACCAGGGATTCTCTTTCCCTAAGACACATATTCAGCACATTAACTTTCTGGAAGCCCAACGATTCAATTATATAAGGCCATATACTTGAGAAGAAAACCAACGAGAGGGGGAGGTGGGAAAAGTAAAAACCGGGGCAAGGGGTAGGCGAATCATATTGAGAAAGCAATATATCTTCCAAGACTAGACATCTTCTGAACAATTTTTTCTCACATAGGTTTCGTTCACTCACGTTGTAGAAGCAAGAGTGATGTATCAAGAGTTTCTCTAGCAGCTATAACTTCATTCTGCTTTTCCTCATCTGAGAGTTCAACTGGTGAAATTTCTGCATTCTCTAGCTCAACCTTTAACCAGTTGCGATAAGTTGCATCACATGAATAGAACTCACTCTGATTGAGCAAAAACAAAATATTACGATTATAACTTCTAGAAAATTTAAGAAATAACAAGCAAACCAAAGGCATATCCATATCTTCTTTAGAAGTCTCAAAAAGCGTACCCAGTCCTGGAACTCCTTTAAATTCTCCGAGAACTCATGACTCTCCACAGAAACAAGATCATCTGAGAGTTGTTTCAATGGCTCAGCCAGTAAACTGAGTAAAGTATGAGCCCCGACTGGCATTGCTGGAACCCTCCACATTGAGATAAGAGCAAATTCCCGGAACAGTACATTGCTGTGGAAGTAGTTGCAAGTCAATTCCATGATCATTTGAGTCACCTCGAGGAACATAAAATTAAAAAGAAATGAGAAGCAAAAACTGACCTGTGTGTCAATGCCCGGAAAAGAAGTTTCATACTAACGGACCTAGAATTATTGACTCTTGAAGGAGGTGTAAAGCAGAGCCACTGAATTACTAAAGCTTTCTGAAGGCTCTGTAACCGATGCTGCTCTGCAACATCTGTTTCATTATCATATTTCCCAACTCTGATTTCTCGAGACCTTGAAAGAACCCTGTTTAAAATAATTATAATCTAACGTCAAGTCCTTCGAAAAAACTCAATTTTGCATGTTTTCAAAATTGTGAAATATGTGTTAAGAAATAAAGGAACCTTTCGATGATCTCCTCAAAACTGCCCTTTGAATCATCTTCTGGAGCAAATGGCAAGTATTCAATAGCAGAAAGGAATATTTTATACCTGACGTGAACGCTGTCACCAATGGAAAAGCCATTAAAACTAGTCTAAACCAAAACATCTGACCAAGATCCTAGTAATGATAAAGTAGAATGAACTGTTCCTGAGTCATAAATAAGAACTCCCACGGTTTATGTAAGAACGTGTTGCATGAAGTAACAACTTACATAGCTCAATTATCTTTTTTAACCTGGATAGCAAGGATACAATCCACCGAATTAGCTATAGTTAATCAAAATAATTCCCACTCACCCTAAAAGGAAGGATGATAGTAGAAGAAATTAACAAAAGAAAGACACCATTAGACTAATGTATCGTAGGCCCTAATTTTGCAATGAAAATTACTTCCATATAAACAGGTTGTATTCATACTCATTTTCCAACTTTTGCTCTCTGTGAGAATGTAAATGTTTTAATTAAAAAAAAAACCACTTAAGTGACAAGTTTAGAAGGGAAGGACATCAATTTCTAAAATGACCAACAAAAGCTTTCACCCAGCTAGTCATTATGCATCCAATAGCATGCATGATAGAAAAACTATTACTAATTAGTTGACAACAACCTAAAGTTCCCGCCAAAATTAACAAAGGAAGATTCAGCACGAACTCATTGACTATAACACGTTGAGATTATATGGAAGATAACAGGGGGCATTTCTCGAGTTCTTTTCCAAGTTCCATCACACAAGAAAGCAAGGAAAACCCCTTACACTGACCATGCACACACTCAGCAAGCGTGCAAGGGGAACATAAGGACGAGAAGAGGGGAGAAAGTCAGACGCAAAGCATGCGTTATGGCAACGACAAACACCACGTTTAGCTGACCAATATATCATAGCTTGGGGCTTTTATAGTAAGTTGTCACCAGACTTCCTGACCTAAAGTCTATATATGAACACCAGAAGTTTAAGATCACCTGCACTCTTATGCTTCTTAGTTTGTTGTTACCAGGTGCATCCCTTCAGAATTAGTAAGGAGCAAACTAAGGCCAAATTCATAATGAGTCAACCTATACTTTTGCAATAATCAATTGTTTATTTTATTGGTCAACTTTCCTTCACATCCCACTTCACCTGTGTAAGTTCATCCAATTTTTTAATAATTGGCCCCAAAGTACGAAGAAGATGGAAGTTTACTAGTACTAAACAAAAGCCTGCCGATGCAAACAGATATTTTAACAAGGGAGAAAATGTCGTCCACAACAGCATAGTAACCCAGGCACAAAAGGTTGAACTGCAACCCACTAAGAATTAGTGTCTGAAGATTAAGTCTATATGCTTATGGCTTTTTGGCTATTAGGTGTACTCTTCAGGATGTCAGAGATGAAAATAGCTTGGTAGATTTAATTGACTCACTACAGGGATAGGAACTTTACAGAAAGGAATCCTTTCTTTTGTTTTTGTGTAGGAGGGTTCTGACTATGTAAATATACAAGCACCGTTGCAGAGCTAGATTTTTTTCTATCAATAAGAATCCATTACTTACCTGTTCAAAAACAAAGGAAAAAAGAATTTGCCACCGACAAAAGTCAAATACCAAAGTACCAAACACATAAAGGATCATAATACTTTTTTATAACCATGGTCTCGGCAGCAGCCAGCTTGCGCTCGGCTAATTCCAACTGGTAAAGGGTCATAATACTTAATAGCACGCTTTTTAGTACCTAAACCACACGATGGGCATTTTAGGTCATAACTCATAAGCATGCCCATCAAATGAAAACTACAAATTCCCTATCGAAAGAATAAAATAAATGGATCACCAAAAATAAAAATAGGAAATAAAGAGAAATAAAAGTCAGCATTACATGGGTTTTACCTGCTATTTAGCCTTAACTCCATCATATGCACAAAGAGATCGATACAACGATGACGAGCTAACTGAGAAGCATAAATCCCAACCAACTCTTCATGTTGCTTTGTAAAAAGAAACATAGTATACCTGCAATTGCAGCTCAGACTTCAGAAGCCAACAAAACAACCCTATAAAATAACAGACACGGGATATTGGACGATAACATTTGAAGATATGAAAATAGTGGATTATTACTTTGATCAATCATGGGAATGAAGCAGAAAAACTTGATACCATAAAAAAGAAAATCGACAGATGAACACATTAATTCTCCATGAAACTTGAGACGAAATGCAAATCCCAATCAAGAACAAACACAAACAACCAATATATATGAGTCGTGTACCAAAAAGTAGAGAACCTACATCAAGATATGATTCTCTACACAGACACCAATTCATTTACACAGACAGGTATCTCATAGCTACATAAAAAAACAAACACAAATGGATATTCCTTAAATGGACAAAATCATTTTCAATCCCTCCCACCGCTCTCCTTCCATGCAACCTACATAAGAGCTAGCGGGGGCAACCTCCCATGCCGTTGGTCTTCTTTCTAGCTTTTAAGAGACCAAATGTAGCATATCTCTTATTGTACCTACATCGCCCTTTATATTCCGAAACAATTCAAAATCACCCTTTACAAACCAGGTCCACCTTGCACTGCAACAGAAGGTGATCAAGGTCTTCGCCCGAATATTTGCATGTATAGCACCAATAGACATAGGTCATAGTTATCCACCTCAGGTTCTTCACTGTCACTATCGTTCCCTTCCAGGACAACTTATTAATCCATACCTGTGAATGATGTCTCCTCTCTCACCAACGATTTCTGGTAGTATGATTGGTGTTGTTAAAGGCTTACTTAAGCCTTGAAGCTTAGGTGCAAACAGACTGAGCGAATCGCTTGGTTTATGCTTTAGTTCAGTCACTACGGCGTTAGGGTGCACGTACGTCTCATTACTAATAGACATTGTGCTGAATAGACGACAATAACTAATAAATATTTCAAATATTTTGGGAGTTACTTGTGTTCACCGAGATTGACTTCGGATATATTGTGTTCGTCGTTATGAAACTACACGTGGCGGTGTAGGCATAGATGGCCACTTTATGATATAGACTACGGCAGAGTGCTCTCCCTCGAGAGAGTACTATTTTGTGCTATTATTAGCATGGCTGAGTCGATTCGTACGGCACTACCATGAGACGATCTGAGCAAGTAGGGTATATGATACTTGCCGCTAGGTACATAACCTAGTTGACTTTCTTATGTCGGTGATGGTATAGTACTCCCAGTGAAAGGTAAGGATGATTTTCTTATGTTTAGGCCTAAGAAGCCGAAAGCGATTTCAATGACTTAAAGCATATGTAATAATTTTGTACGATTTACCGAAAATGTTGGATTGATGTAAGTATTTTAAAAGTTTATATTGTGGGTTATCTTTCACTTGCTTGTTATTTAAAATAACAAGGGTCATGAATTGATTAAATTTCTTATCGTTTTATATCAAATATTGGTGCATTATTTTTTTATAAAGTTTGTCCTAAGAACTTAAGTTAGACAGAGCCTATGACACTTATTGAGTACCGCTGTGGTGTACTCAGCCCATAGGGGCCCCCTCCACTGCCCTGCTTACTTTACATATTTCAGGATGATGTATGATACATGGCATGCGGTCAGGCCAGGATGACTCTCTTTCCGAGGTATTATGAAGCACCACTTTTATTTCGTGGTAGCTACCATGTTCTTCCTTATTTTATTTTGTTGGAATTACTCCAACCGTTGGTTCTATTATTTGGAATAGAGGCTCCATAGATAGTTGTGAAAGATTGTAGTAACGGGATTGTACACGACATTCATGAAATTATATTTATTTTACTTAGTCTCATTGTTATTATTATGAAGGGCGTCATGTGTGATTTTGAATTGGAAAATATTTTATCATTTAACTTGAAAATGTATAAGATTGTTTTTTTGGTGAAATGAGAAATCTTTATTAATCACCAGCACAAAAATTTACAAGAATTCCCTCCCATTACTGCCCCTTCCTACTCTATCTTCTAAACTGTTTTGACATATTATTCTTATCTATTTATTAAGCAAATTACAGTAACTTCTTTATCCACAGCTTCTATCTTCTCGATGTTGTCCTTCGCTCCATGATTTCATGTATCTTCATCCTGCATTCTTCCTTAATAGTGTTTACTATCTTTTGAGGTCTGAGCACTTTTTGATTCCACAAAGCAATATTTCTAACTTTCCATATATGATAGATTGTCGCTGCCAAAACCGTGCTTATAGTTGATCTGCATGTTTTGCCCCTTATCTTGCTTGTCATTCTTCTCCAAATGCCTACTATTCTGCACTGCTGCACTCTTACATTCAGCCATTCTAATATCCCATTTAGACAATTTCTGGAATATTTACATTCAAAGAATAGGTGGTCTATTGTTTCTGCTTCCTTCCCACATATGACACAGTGATCTTCTTGACATATTCCCAGCTTTGCCAACCTCTCTCTCGTTAGGAGCCTTCGATGCATAGCTAACCAGCAAATAAAGCTATGCTTTAGGATGTTATTACTGTCCCACACCCATCTACCAATGCCCCAGTTGTCTCTTCTTCCTTGTTTCCATTTGTATCCACTATTCATTGTGTACTTTCCATGTGCTACTAGCCAACCCTGTTGTGTATATCCTACAGCAAATTGATCTCTAATGGAGCAGATCTTTCTCCAGTACCAACAACAGTCTTTTGGAGGTTGGTACTCCCACCAGTCCTTCTCTTTTAAGTATATGTGATTCACCCATTACACCCACAAATTATCTGCTTTCTTTGCTAGGTTCCAAACGTATTTAGCAATGGCTACTTGGTTCCAAGCCTCACAATCAATGATCCCAAGTCCCCCTTCTATTTTAGGCCTGCAGATAAGATCCCAAGCTACTAAAGGAACTCTATTTGTGTTCACTTTGCCATCCCATAAAAAGTTTCTCCAAATAGCTGTAATGCTCTTTAGAATCTTCTTAGGAAGTATAAAGATAGAGGACCAATAGGCATGGATATGCATTAGTACTGAGTTAATTAATAGAACTCTCCCTGAATAGGATAAGTTCCTAGAATCCCAACTCTTTATTCTAGCACACATCTTATCTACCAGCATTTCACAATCCACAGCGGAGATCTTTTTTGCTGAAATTGGCACCCCCAAATATCTAAAAGGCAAAACACCTCTTTTATACCCTGTCAGTTCACATAGATCAGTCACTTCTTGTTGCTCCATGTTTGCACTATAGATGTATAAGATTTTCAAGGAGCTTCTGCGGTTAAATTGGTTTTCATGCACATGATATAGGTGCATCACATGGTTTGGTCGCTCGGGTCGGGTAGGTTGCCGGGTGCCGGTCACGTGATTTTGGGTCGTGACATATAGAGAGGTCTGACTGTGTATTATAAATTAAACTATCATATAAATATTATTTATACATCCCACTAGTAGAATTTTACTGGTTGTTGTTGTTGTATTTCAATTATAATTTTGATTATTGCATAATTGTATCTTATTATGTTGATAAGTTATAGTTTTAATCAAATAATTATATAATTAGATGTATTAAATTGTAAAAAACAATATAACTAATATTAAGACAATTTTTAATTACCTAGTTTTTCTTTACTAATTTTTAGGTGGGTAAACGTGATTTAGAATATGTTTTCCCTCCAAACTTTTCCCTCTAAGGTTTTTGCCAAAATAAAAGATTAGAGGAGAACGAAAACCCTTTCCCTACATATCAAAAGAAAGCCAAAAATCAGGGCAAGGCACTCTCTCTAGCTGCTTCAGCCGCATCGTCATATACAATCTTCTGCAGTTTTAGTACCCAATGTGCAATTCACTTTTACCAACAAGGTGTATGAAATCTATACGGATGCCATCTACGCTCCTTGCCGTCTAAAACCTACCTAGTCAAAGGTGAGGAACTCTTCAAAGTTTTCATCTTTTGTGTAATAGAAATTTTGCATTTTTGTTCGTCACATTTTTGTGATCTTTATGTGATGGGTATTCTGCAACTCTGTCTTATTTCTTACACTGGTTCATTTTTCTGATTTGTTGGTATAATAATTTGAGGATTTTGGATATTTTGTCATTATTTGCTTTCGTTTTATTGATGGTGGATTGTATGCAAAATTAAGAAAACTTTGGGTCAAAAATTTGTGAAAACTAGTTCCCAGAATTTTCTTGAGAAGCCAACGAATCAAATGAAATTAGAACAACGAAACTAGAATAAGCATAATGAGTTTTTGTAGTATGTTTGATGGAATCACCTAATCAATGTTGGCTAATAAGAAATTAACAGTCACTGTTTATGTATTGCTCTTTGTAATCCAAAAAGAGAATGGTAAGTACGTCATGTAGGAGGTTGATCTTGTATAGCATAAAAGAGAATGACGGCTTCTTTGTTAGTGCTTACAACATATAATTTTTTTAGCTGTTTGTTATAAGTAGCATCCTTATAATTTATGTACTTAAAAGGCGAGAGCTGGAAATCAAGAGGTTCATTTTCTTCCGTTCAATCCAACTGATAAGCTCACAGCTATAACATATCTTGACAGTGAAGGCAAAATGCATCGACTCAGTAAAGGTGCCCCTGAACAGGTAAAGGGTAAGCTGCTTCTGATTTCATATCTTGATAGTTTGCATTCAATTTCTTCTGTGTTGTCATTTTGAACTGGATGCCAATAACATTTTACAGGAAGTTCCTGAAGGAAGAAAGGAGTCTCGAGGAGATCCGTGGCAATTTATTGGTCTCATGCCTCTTTTTGATCCACCACGGCATGTGATAGTGCAGCGACAATTAGAAGGGCCTTAAATCTTGGCGTGAATGTGAAAATGATCACTGGTGCATATATCTTTCTAGTATAATTCAGTTGTTTCTTTAGTTAGATGAACAATGTTATGATTGCAGTACACTAATAACTAATAGTAGATGGTTTTGGAGTACAAAGCAATTAAACAACCAATAAGAAAGTTGGCAACCATATAGGTTTATTTTTCAGCTCTTCCTTACCTGCTGCTATATTCAGGCTGTCTTTTAGCTTCTTTTACCATGCACATTAAATTAGTCTTCAAGTACGAGGGCGCTAATGTCATGTTAAACCTGAAAGCGGATGCGAGAAAGATGTCAGAAATCTGCTCGGGGTCAAGATTGGACTTCTATACTTTATTTGGACTGGGTGGTGGCAGCCATGTTCTCATCTTCACATTTGTAATATAGAGATCTGTTGGAATCTTTTGGGACATTAAGTATGTTGAACGGGATGAACTTTTCAATGTATTTCAATAACTATCTTTTATAATGTTATTTTGGTCTAATATGCTCGAGTAACCCCCCCTCCCCACATCAGGTGATCAACTAGCGATTGGAAAGGAGACAAGACGCCGTTTAGGAATGGGAAATAATATATATCCTGCTGCTTCTTTACTAGGCCAGGATAAGGATGAGTCTACTGCAACTTTGCCTGTTGATGAGCTGATTGAAAAAGCAGATGGTTTCGCTGGTGTTTTTCCTGGTAAGGTTTTATTCTCTACAGAATTTGATGATTAGTAATTTAGTATTCTTTCTTCCGATTTCTAGATGCTGATGAAGGCAAAATTTAGGCTAGCAGGCATTTGGAGGACCCTTCCTGATGTTAGTTCATAATGGTGCTATTTTTGTTGTGTAAATAAAAGTTGCAGGAACTAGCTAGTAAGAAGAGCAATTACCCATCATCGAGAGCTACGGCCAATAGAGCATCCTCTCGTAAAGGTAATTGGCTTATTCTGGATACTATATTGTTCCTTAAATTGATTAAAGTATTACCCTAAATATTAAGAGAGAAAAAAAGTATTATAGTCCCTTGCTAGAAATAAGTAAGAAGTAATGTTTTGTCCTCCCTTAGGAAGCACCGGATCAAACAAGGATCTTGGGATATTTAGACACAAAAGAGCACTTAGCAGTGTTTTTGAGAAACTTACTTTGATTCAAAGTCTTGGCTCTTATTATCATACTTTAAAGCAGATGACAACTATAATGTACAATCCATTCTACTGGTTCATTAAGTTCTTAGAAATGCATATCTTCCGTTGACAAACAGGTGAAAGATTTACGATGCGAACTGTAAATGTAAAGTTCTGTGAGGGGATGTCTACAAGTTTTGAAATTTCAATGTTGTTTCAAAAATCATGCTAGTAGTATAACTCTCGATATATAGCACATTCAAATTATCAGATAATTATTTTGTTGACTTTTCAAATGGTCTTTGAGGTTGTTAAGTTGAAGAAACAAGAAAGAAATGGATAATAAGCTAGCAAAGTTGGATAGACGACTGGAATAAAAATTTCGAAGGATGTTTGCTGCTCGTGCAACTGTAAGTAGCTTATTACACTGCTATTTATTATTTTCATTATACAACCAATGGTAGAAAATATGTGATTTCTTTAAGAAAAACTTCATATGATGAACGAACTTTAATTGTTTTATGTAGAGATACTTCATTCCACCATTTTATTATCATTATTATTATTATTATTATTATTATTATTTATTATATTTTTTTTTTTTTGGAATTGTTGTTGCAGCTTCTGGAGGAGCCCAGAAAGCATCCAGATTGATTGAGACATGAATGATTATTTTTTCTCTCTTGTAAATCATATTGATATGTTTGAGTGGAACAACCTTTTACTATTTTAATTTATTTTGTGTGATACAGTTGAACTTTTAATTATGTCTTATTGCTAATGTATTGCATTTCTTGAAACAATTGAAGAAGAAATGTTACTAAAATTCTCTACATATTTTGTATTGCATTTATTAAATAAATTGAAGATATTTCGCTATAAATCCTCTACATATTTATGCTAAAATGCGATTCTTAGCTGCATTTTATATATTTTTGTGGCTATCAAAGCAAATTCTTTAATTTGTAGCTATGGAATTTTTGAATTTATAGCTAAAGATAAATAAAGTTGCCACCAAAAAGAATGACTATATATTTTTATTTTTTGTAGCAAATGAAGAAAATATTTTGCTATATATATATATATATATATATATATATATATATATATATATATATATGGCAAAGAGCATGGAATCTTAGCTACAATAGAGATGTTTGTGGCAAACACTTCAGCTATGGACTTCTGAGAGCTTAAGTGTTGAAAAGTGGTCCGTAGTCGGAAAAGTGTGAAGACGACCTTGGAATGGAAATATGATGCTTCCGTTAGCTCCGTTAGGTGATTTCGGGGTTGGGAGCGTGTTCGGAATGTATTTTGGAAGTCCGTAGCTCATTTAGGCTTGAAATGCCGAAGGTTGAATTTTTGAAGTTTCCGGTCCGATAGTGAGTTTTTGATCCGAGGGCCGGAATGGAATTCCGGAAGTTGCAAAAGCTCCATCGTGTCATTTGGGATGTGTGTGCAAAATTTCAGGTCATTCGGACGTGTTTTGGTTAGGTTTTTGATCGAAAGCGTGTTTTGATGGAATTTGAAGTTCTTAGGCTCAAATCATTGATTAATTCGAGTTTCCGACGTTTTTTTAGGTGTTTTAAGGATTGGTACAAGTTTGAATGAGGTATTAGGTATTATTGGTGCTTTTGGTTGAGGTCCCGGGGGCCTTGGGATGATTTCGGGTGGTTAACGGAGAAATTTTTGAAAGGTTGCAGCAGCTGGTTTTTTTTTCTCTTCTGGTATTTTTGCTTCTGTGGCTTGGGAACCGCAGAAGCGGCCACTCAATCGCAGCAGCGAATTTGGGCTCCCTCAGCTTTTTCCGCAGGTGCGGAAGATCTACCGCAGATGCGGTTACGCACCTGCGAGGCTTCTATCGCAGATGCGGTCCTGGGTCAGCTGTAAGAAAGCAGCAGAAGCGGTAAGAAATCCGCATAAGCGGTAGCGCATAAGCGTATGTGTATTGATTATCGCCAGTTGAACAAGGTTACAGTGAAGAACCGTTATCCCTTGCCTCGTATTGATAATCTGTTTGACCAGCTTAAGGGTGCACAGGTGTTTTCTAAGATTGACTTGCGCTTAGGTTACCATCAGTTGAAGATTTGGGAGCCAGATATCCCGAAGACTGCCTTCAGGACTCGGTATGGTCATTACGAGTTCCTTGTTATGTCATTTGGGCTGACCAATGCCCCAGCAACTCTCACGCATTTGATGCACAGTGTGTTCAGACCATATCTTGACTCGTTCGTTATTGTTTTTATTGATGATATTCTGGTGTATTCCCGGAGTCGGGAAGATCATGAGCAGCACCTGAGGACCGTGCTTCAGACCTTGAGGGAGAAGAAGTTATATGCAAAGTTCTCAAAATATGAGTTTTGGTTGAGTTCTGTGGCATTCTTAGGCCACGTGGTTTCGAGTGAGGGCATTCGGGTGGATTCGAGGAAGATAGAGGTCGTGCAGAGTGGCCCAGGCCGTCCTCAGCTACAGAGATTCGCAGTTTCCTTGGTTTGGCGGGCTATTACCATCGTTTTGTGGAGGGGTTTTCATCGATTGCAGCCCCTATGACTAGATTGACCCAAAAGGGTGCCCCATTTTAGTGGACGGAGGAGTGTGAGGCGAGCTTTCAGAAGCTCAAGACAACTTTGATTACAGCCCCTATTTTGATATTGCCTACTGTTTCGGGGTCCTATACAGTTTATTGTGATGCCTCGCGGGTTGGCCTTGGAGCGGTGTTGATGCAGGATGGTAGAGTGATTGCCTATGCGTCCAGACGGTTGGAGATACATGAGAAGAACTACCCTGTCCACGACCTTGAGTTAGTTGCTATTGTTCATGCCTTGAAGATCTGGCGTCACTATTTGTACGGTGTGCCTTGTGAGATTTATACAGACCACCGGAGTTTGCAGCACTTGTTCAAGCAAAAGGATCTAAATTTGCGCCAGAGGAGGTGGTTAGAGTTGTTGAAGGACTATGATATTACTATTCTGTATCACCCGAGCAAGGCCAATGTAGTGGCGGATGCCTTGAGTCGCCGGGCGGAGAATTTGGGGAGTTTGGCATATCTACCAGCTTCAGAGAGGCCTATGGCGATGGATGTTCAGGCCTTAGCCAGCCAGTTTGTGAGATTGGATCTTTTAGAGCCCAGTCGGGTTCTAGCTTGTGTGGATTCCCGGTCTTCCTTATTTGATCGTATTAGGGAGCAGCAGTATGAAGACCCTCATTTGCTTGTCCTTAAGGACAAGTTTCAGCATGGAGATGCCAAGGATGTGACCATTGGAGATGACGGGGTATTGAGGATGCAGGGCCGGATTTGTGTGCCCAATGCTGATGGGCTTCGAGTGATGATTCTAGCAGAGGCCCATAGTTAGCGATATTCCATCCATCCGGGTGCCGCGAAGATGCATCAGGATTTGAGGCAACACTATTGGTGGAGGCGGATGAAGAAAGATATAGTTGGTTATGTGTCTAGATGCCTCAACTGCCAGCAGGTAAAGTATGAGCACCAACGCCCGGGTGGGTTGCTTCAGCAGATAGAGATTCCGGAGTGGAAATGGGGACGCATCACCATGGACTTTGTATCGGGACTCCCACAGACCTTGAAGAAGCTTGATGCCATTTGGGTCATTGTGGATCGACTGACCAAGTCCGCTCATTTCATTCCTGTGTGTGCCACTTATTCATCGAAGCGGTTGGCGGAGATTTATATCCGAGAGATCGTCCGTCTGCATGGTATTCCAGTTTCTATCATTTCGGACAGAGGTACTCAGTTTACATCGCGGTTCTGGAGAGTCGTGCAGCAGGAGTTAGGTACTCGGGTGGAGTTGAGCACAGCATTTCACCCCCAGACGGACGGACAGTCCGAGCGCACTATTCAGGTTCTTGAGGATATGTTCCGTGCGTGTGTGATTGAGTTTGGAAGGTCTTGGGATCATCATTTCTTGCCATTGGCGGAGTTTGCTTGCAACAACAGTTATCAGTCTAGCATTCAGATGGCGCCATATGAGGCTTTATATGGTAGGAGGTGTAGATCTCCGGTGGGTTGGTTTGAGCCGGGTGAGGCCAGGCTATTGGGCACAGAGTTGGTTCAGGATGCATTGGAGAAAGTCAAGGTTATTCAGGATAGACTCCGTACAGCCCAGTCCAGACAGAAGAGTTGCGCGGACAGAAAGGTTCGTGATGTTTCATATATGGTTGGTGAGCGGGTTCTGCTTCGGGTTTCGCCTATCAAGGGCGTCATGAGGTTTGGGAAGAAAGGAAAGCTGAGTCCGAGGTTTACTGGCCATTTTGAGATCTTGAGGCGAGTTGGGGAGGTTGCTTATGAGCTTGCCTTACCTCCTAGTTTGGCCGGAGTTCATCCGGTAAGGTATTCCATGTTTCAATGCTCTGGAGGTATCACAGTGATCCGTCGCACGTGTTAGATTTCAGTTCAGTCCAGTTGGACAAGGATCTATCCTATGTTGAGGAGCCAGTGGCTATATTGGACAGGCAGGTCAGAAAGTTGAGGTCAAAGAACATGGCTTCAGTGAAGGTTCAGTGGCGGGGTCAGCCGGCCGAGGAGGCGACCTGGGAGACCGAGCAGGATATGCGCAGCAGTTACCCTCATCTTTTCACTACTTCAGGTATGTTCTCTATGCTCGTTCGAGGAAGAACGAATGTTTAAGTGTAGGAGGATGTGACGACCCGGCCGGTCGTCTTAAGAATTAACGCCCCAATCCCCTATTAACTGCTTCCCCTAAGTTCATTTATGCTATTTTGGTTTGCTGGGACGTTCGGTGTTGAGTTTCGGAGAGTTTTGGGACACTTAATCCCTAAATGAGAGCTTAAGTGTTGAAAAGTGGTCCGTAGTCTGAACAGTGTGAAGACGACCTCGGAATGGAAATCCAATGCTTCCGTTAGCTCCGTTAGGTGATTTCGGGGTTGGGAGCGTGTTCGGAATGTATTTTGGAAGTCCGTAGCTCATTTAGGCTTGAAATGCCAAAGGTTGAATTTTTGAAGTTTCCGGTCCGACAGTGAGTTTTTGATACGAGGGCCGGAATGGAATTCCGGAAGTTGCAGAAGCTCCATCGTGTCATTTGGGATGTGTGTGCAAAATTTCAGGTCATTCGGACGTGTTTTGGTTAGGTTTTTTATCGAAAGCGTGTTTCGATGGAATTTGAAGTTCTTAGGCTCAAATCATTGATTAATTCGAGTTTCCGACGTTGTTTTAGGTGGTTTAAGGATTGGTACAAGTTTGAATGAGGTATTAGGTGTTATTGGTGCTTTTGGTTGAGGTCGCGGGGGCCTCGGGATGATTTCGGGTGGTTAAAGGAGAAATTTTTGAAAGGTTGCAGCAGCTATTTTTTTTCTCTTCTGGTATTTTCGCTTCTGCGGCTTGGAAACCGCAGAAGCGGACTCAATCGCAGGAGCGAATTTGGGCTCCCTCAGCTTTTTCCGCAGGTGCGGAAGATCTACCGCAGATGCGGTTACGCACCTGCGAGGCTTCTATCGCAGATGCGGTCCTGGGTCAGCTGTAAGAAAACCGCAGAAGCGGTAAGAAATCCGCATAAGCAGTTATTGAACCGCAGAAGCGGACGTCGTGTTTTTTAGTGAAAGTCGCAGAAGTGGCTCATTTTCCGCATAAGCGGGACCGCAGAAGCGGAAATCCCTGAGCAGATATAGAAATTTCGAGGGTTAGTTTTCATAAGTTAGAAAAATCAAATTGAGCTCGGGGAAGGGCGATTTTTA